GGGGGGGGGGTTGTCCTCGTTTGGAAGATTCTTGGTGGAACCCAGCTAGCTGGAGTGTACATGCAAGCACTGAAATTGAATCAGAAGTTAAATCAGATTAGGTGCGTTGCACTTGAGAAGTGTCCGAAGTTTAAATTGCCTTCAGGCGAAAGTTCGATCATTGAAGAAAGATTTTTTTGATGGAATGGAATTCGGCGAACAGGGGACTATATCTTCTACGATTGAGGGGGCATCAACACGTCCTGAATCAGAATGTGACATGCGTACTTCGGGTGTCGTCAGAACTTGTTATGCTTCTTTGACCATCAATTAATCAACAGTCCTTTTTTTTTCGCGAGAATATCCTACAGAAATGCCACTTCGAACCATGGTGGCAGAGAAATCAATAAATAATATACTCTTGTATTTTTATCTATACAGCGCTCCTAGATACCCTTCTTGGCCTCGTCGAAATGTTCCTTGAACTTATCGGCATTTTCCTTGTTACCGAACCTGATGGCCAAGGTCTGGGCCTCTGGCTCACCCTCAGAGATGTCGGCGGTCACAGTGTATACCCAGGATCTGTCAGAGCCAATGTTTGGCTTCAATTCGTAATCGCCCTGCACCAAGTGGTTGGCGCAGATCTTCAACGTCTTGTCTCTTCTCATCAAAACACGAGTTTTCTTGGTCTCCTTGTGCTTCAAAAACTTCACGTCACCAGTACCTCTCTCCTTCCATTCCTTGGTGTCAGCGTGGAATCTGAACAATTTGGCACGTACTTTGAACATGACTTCTTCATCTTCTTCGTTGGTTTTCACGTCAACTTTCTCCAAGTGAACCAAAGGCTCGAAGTGGACATCCACTTCCTCCTCGGCGTCACCTTCCGCGTTGTCCTTCTTCTCGGTTTCGTCGTTCTCTTTGCCCTCTTCCTTGTCCTCTTTGTCCTCCTTTTTCTCCTTCTTAGCACCAAACATCAGGAAAACATTTGACGTAGGAGGCTTGGGAGCTTCAGTAGCACCGGTGGTGGCAGTGGTTTCTTCAACCTTAGGCTTGGTCTCCTCAGTAGACATGTCGTGTGATTACAGAGATGGAATAGTATGGATAAGTTCAGGAACTTTTTTTTCTCACAGTTAAGGTGTTTTTTCCCGGCTGTCTTGGACCCTCGATTTCGCGATCTCAGGCACGACCACCATGACCGCGCATCTTGTCAATTCCTGGAATACATTATCAAGAGATGTCATGCTGATCTCAGATGTCGTGTGTTTTGTTCCTTATTGATATTCGAATTTCAAGTTGGAAGAATGAAAAATTTCTCTCAATCGGTATATTTGTTGAATTACTTTTTCTTTTCTACTTACAGTCAGCACTAGAACTAGTCCTCCATTTCCGACGGTTTGATTAATCCTGCCACTTGCAAGTCTTTCTCTCTCTGTAATTTGGTTTGCTCTTGCTTCTCGATTTCTTTATCCTCAGCAAAAAGATAGTCAGTGGCGTCACCACCAAATTCCTTTATTTGAACAAGGAAATCCCTCAAAGTGCCACTAAATTTGTTCAAGTCCTTGTAGACGGTCGTCAAGACATTAAGGAAGTTTATCAATTGCTCCTTTTGCAAGTTCTCGAATGCCGAAGACAATAAGTTACCCAAGTACTGTTTCAAGTAGTCAGAGTTACTTGTTCCCTCCGCAGCCTGCTTGCTTGTGTACAAGGACTCCTTGATCACACCATCCTCGATTAAATGAATAAGATGTGCGAGGAGTTGAGCTTGGTATCTGAAACCAGATTTATGGTCGGGTTGAGTTAAGACATAGAAGGTGTCCGACAAGATCTGGAAGTAGAAATTTTCGTAAAATGCTTTGGTGAAAGGCGTGTTGCCGAGGTTTTCAACATTCACGATCAATTCCAAAGTCAAGGACAAGCCACTCTCTTCAACCTCTCTGTTGTTGTGCTTCAATGCCCACAAAGCAGCATTGATCAACGATTGAAAAGCCTCACCAGACAATTGCAACAAAGCGTCGAAAGACTTGTGGTTTATCACTTTCAAAAGCTTGTAGTATTCAACTCTATGCTCGGGGTATTCGACAAAGTCGTTCTTGATCATGTCGAGAGTGCATGCAAATACATTTTGCAAGATCAAAACAACACCCCCCGAAATCATGTGACCGACTTTGGCTACCAAGGCAGCCATGCAGTTTAAGACTTCTGCGTCTCTAGCATCAGGGACATTTGTTTTGTAATCTTCCAAGACAGCAGCGAACAATGGTTGTGAAAGATCCCTCACAATTTCTTCCAAATTGTCTGCCTGGTTAATGTAAGTCTCAACCATCTTCAAGATTTCCTTCTTGATTGTTCTTAAGCCTCTTACCTTTGGAGTTTTAGTCGCAATCAATCCTTCAGTGGCAACAGAATCGGAAATCATTCTGCTCACTGCTGTGTACAAGGATAACATGTCGACATACATCAAACCAAGCTGAGAGTAGAAGCCTGGGCCCATAGCCTTGCAGACGGAAACATTTGTTTTGATGATATTGGCGATGATTTTCACGGTTTCAGTGTTTGTCAAAAGTTGGGGATCCTCAGCAGAGCTCTGCACAATTGCTCCCCAAGCAACGTTGGGGAATGCCATTAATTCGCTGAGTAATTTGTCTCTCAACTCCTTTTGTGTTTGGGCACTCACAATTATCCCACATGCTTCGTAGAAAGTATGGACTTGTTGAGGCAGCAAATCCTCAGTAATAGCTTGAACGTTGCGAATGATTTCGACAATAAAAGGTTCTGTTTCCGAAGGTTGCTGGACAACAAAATGTCTTTTACACTTATTCGTGATCTTAATAAATGTATCACATGCCATATCCTGAACACCCTCGTGAGTTTCATGCATGAACTCAAATAGCTTGTTGACCACAGTCTTCAAGAATTTCCAGTGCGCTTTGAGGAATCTTGGATATTGGCCAACAATGTACATGATGTTAGAAGCAACAACGGCTTTGTTATCCTTGCCTCTCTTCAATTCTGTCAAGGACAACAAGTCCTTGATAACAGAAACAAGAAAGCGTTTCTCCATCTCTTCGTTCATTGTTCCGGAGATCGAACCTATAGCCCAGCACAACGTGTTGATATTGTGCCATGACCACTCGCTTTCATCAATCTGTCTCGCCAACTTCTCCATCATGATTTGCTCAGTGTCCACGACATCCAAGTGTGTCAAGTACACCAATACTTCCCTCATGGACTTGTACAACTGAATGGTATCACTCTCCTTCACAAATTCTCTGACAATCTCGCCCTCATCGTTCTCAACAATCAAGACTTCCTCTGGTCTAACCATATTTTCGATGATAACCAATCTCAATTTTGACAAGATCTGTCTGTACTTGTGTTGCCTCAACGGGTATTTTGCGAGGATCGAGGGATCAGGTGCACCGTTCGAGCCTGGTCTCAATTGAGAAGCGTAACTTGTAAGTTGCATCAACGGACCCAATTCGTTGGCAGGCAAGTTCCTGATTTCCTCAAATAATCCGTAGATAAAGGTGCACCAGTAGTCCAAGCACGTTTTGAACAATTCACGTTCTTCAATACGTGAAAGCTCGATTAAATAGTTGGTCGAGATAAGGAACAACTCGTTCAAACTAGGCGCAGACTCTAAAGCCTGCAAGTGGTTGCCCAAGAAAGTGCACAAGAACATGGCTAAATCTTGCAAGAACGACTGGTCGTTCGAGTTTGCCAGTTGGTAAGATCTTTTTAACGAAATTGAGTTATTCAAAGGAACGATGGTGACGATCTTTTCCATTGCCGCTTGGAAATACACAATGAACTTCTCCTCGTTTTCAACGGAAATCAAGCTGGAGACCTCGGTCAAGCACTTTAAGGTGAGAGCCCTGGTGTCCGGGGGAGCCAAGAACTTGTTCGTGAACAAGGCCAAGATGTCCGTTTGGAATAGATAGTTCAAAGGGATCCAGTGGATGTACTTTAACAACGCGCTCAACGTGGCCGTGACCAACGAGGTCTTGGTTGTTTTGTCCAAAACTTCATAGCACAACTTGAAAATCTGCTCGAACTCGGCTTTCAAGCTCAACTTCAACGAGTTGGCCTTGGCCTGGGTCATCTCATCTTGCGAGAAGTCGAAGATCTCCTCGCCCATCAACTTCAAAATGATCATGTTGTTCTCACATACGTTGAAAGACGAGCGCGAGCTCATGACAATCTCCGGGACAAACTGGGGCCAGTTGTGGGGCCACTCTTGCTTCAACACGGACACCAACGTCAAGTCAATTTTGTTGATGAGGGCACGCTCGGTCTCGAAGATTTTCTCGTCGTCACACAATGCAATGATCATGTTGACGATGAAGTTACGGATTCCGATGCGCTCGGCCTCCGGAATGGTTTTCCATCTGTATTTGATCAACGAGTTCAAGCACGACAAGGCGATGTACTTCGATTGGGGGCTTTTGGCCGCCGAGAGAATGGCGTCGGCACGTCTCCAAGATTCAGGGTGTTCTTGGAACTGGTTCAAGATGACCAGCGCCTTCTGCTGCTCAGGCCCGGACTTGTAAAAAGTGTCGACGATGCTGTCGAACAAATCGAGATCGAGGTCTCTGGAAAAGTCTAGAATTGCTTCCATTGCGAATGGTTACAATGACAGCGCCTAGTGGGTAGAGGGTGAGGATATTTTTATAAGTAGAGGCGTAGGGGGAAACAAGAAGGGCGTTGCTGGGGCAATTGGCAAAACAGTGAGACAGCTGGATGAAGAAAAGATTTGAAGGTGTTGGTGCGACTGAGAAAAAAAGACCAGGGAGGAAGCCGGACAATTGTGTTCAGGTATAAAATGGCGCTGCGAAAAAAAAGGGAAGGGGTCTGGACTGGGCAAGATCTGCTCCGAGAGTCTTCCTGTCTTATCGGCTTGTCAATGTTTACAGTGAGCCTCGTGTTCTCTGAGCAGCCGGTTTTCAGCAGCGTGAAAAAATAGGGTAAAAATGCTGCCCGTTGTGAAGGCTTTTTATGGACGTGGAATCGATTAGAAGAGAGGTGCGGATTGCTTACGAGAGGCGGGCAGGGAGAGCACGTTGTGGAACAGTGGATGACCGCGACCGTGGCTTGAGACGTGCTCGGTGTAGACAGTCAATATACGACAGTCCAGGAAGCAAACACAAAACCTGCTGCGATTTAATAATATTCTTTTTCTTGTAATTACACGTCCGTGGACATACTGAATATAGCTCGGTATTTCATCTACCAACGTGGGTTCCATACGAAGGGCTTCGGGGGACTTTGTATTACTGCAGTGTCCGGTCACTGTACCCGAGTCAGACCTGGTTAGGAATACTGGAGTCGTGCAGGTGAGAAGCAGTGGTTAGTGGCTGACTTAAAAATGACAGCATTTCCGTGAACGCACGACTGGGCTTGAAACAAGCCAGAGCTTGTGAACTGATGGAAAAGATGGAATCCCCCATATTCATAAATTCATAAAACCAACGTCGATCACCTGCATAGACAATCCTTCCTGTAGTAGGATATGACAAAGGCACAAGGAGTCCGCTGGCAGGTGCCCTCGAGGGATGACTCGCAGAGGATACCCCTTCGTATTTCGGCATTCACGGGACGCCTTCTTGTGAAGGCTTGCGTTGTGCTTCTTAGAAATTCATGAATATTTATTAGTACTTTTGAAGACGTCACAATGCAAGTGGACGATCGGCTCTACTTGGTGCCAAAGGCAACACCTTTCTCAATGTTCTTAGACAACTGCTCAATGGCAACGGACAACAACCTCTTCTCTTCGTCATCAATCTTCTCCAAAATCTCGTAGTTCACCTCGGCAATTCCGTCCTTGGACAACTTGACGGGAAGAGAGAAGAAGTCAAGACCGTTGACCAACTTCTTGGCCTCAGAAGCGCCCTTGATCGAGGAGTCCAAGTTCAAGAAGGTGCACTCGACAACAGTCTTGCCAGAGGCGGCCTCCAACAAGGACTCAGCCAAACGGTAGCCAGCGTAAGCCATGGACAAGGTGGCGGAACCAGCCCCATCCTTAGCCTTGACAACCTCATCACCACCAAACTGCACTCTGTTGATCAACTCCTTCTTCTGCTCCGCAGACAACTTGTCATAGTATGGCTTGGCGCCTACAGAGTACAATGGCACAATGGTCTCGCCCGAGTGGCCGCCAATGACGGGAACCTCAAAGTCAGTTGGCTTGGTCTCTCCTGGGAAGAGCTGGGAGATGAAGGTGTTGGCACGCACAATGTCCAAGGTAGTGACACCAAACAAGCGAGCAGGGTTGTAAACATTGTTCTTTTTCAAGGTCTCCGCCACGATGGGCACAGTGGAGTTGACAGGGTTGGAAATAACCAACACAAGGGCGTTTGGCGCGTTCTCGGCAATTCCCTGGGCCAAGGACTGGATGATCGACGCGTTGATGTTGAACAAGTCGTCTCTGGTCATGCCTGGTTTTCTGGGCACACCTGCAGGGATCACCACCAAGTCGGAGCCTTTCAAAGACTCGGCCAAGGCGGTTTTGTCCTCTCTGGAAGAAGGCAAAAAGGATTTCGTCGTGGCGGCAGAATTGATATGGCCCAAGTCGGCGCCCACGCCCGGCACGTTGACAACATCAAACAAGGACAATTCGGAAACGTTCTTATTGAGTTTCAACAAAAGCGACAAAGGCTGGCCGATTCCTCCGGCGGCACCACAGACAGTAACTTTCACCATGTTTTGTATGAGTAATTTGTGTTCTGGCTAGGGGAAGAGATTTGTGCGTATGGGGATAATACGACTAAAGAGCTGAAGCAGTTCGAGAAAAAAAGGCAAATAAAAAATAAGGAGCACGGGCGCCGGCTTATATATAGGGGAGAAATATGGGGAAAATGTTGCCTGAGGTCCATATGACGCACAAGACACGCAGCACCAAAGGCTCACCCCAGATTTGCACGTGGTGCACTTCTTCCGGGCTTTCCCCGAGGCACATCGGGCATTAGCAATTGGGTACTAAATCTCACCACGCACATGAAACCAAAAATTTGCAAACGAATATTTATTTGGCAAGAAAGGAAAGAATATGATTTGCTTTTGAAACTTTCGGATTTAACGCCTTGGAACTTCGAGGGTCGTTGCACCATGGAGTTGGGGCTTCGGAGTTTGGCCGGCGAGTGGGGACGGTCGCGGGGGCCCTGCCGAAAAAAAGGATTTTTTGGGCTGTGGCCCGGAGTTCTCAGCAGTGCGGGTCCGTGACGAGAAACACCGGGACTTAAGGTCCGAATATGCCCGGGAGTTCCGACACGTAGGAACCCAAGCTCGGCGGATCGGCAATTTGGGTGGCTTTTCGAAAACCCCGAGCTCAGCTGCGGCTCGAGAAAAACGTGATGTTTTTATGGTTACCCGGGCTTCATCTGATTTCGCCCTTGGGCGTGCAGCCTGTGCAGCTCATAACAGGGCGAGCTGCTCAAAGGGTTCTGCATAATTGTTTGGGCACACGCGGCAGCTGGAATGATTAATAGAGTGGGGCGAATTAGAGATCGCAATTGTATTGCGTGGTAAGAAACACCTATGATTCCGCCCCTGCTCTTTGAGAAATGACCAGTTCAGAGAGAGTTTTCACAGGTGGCTTGAAGTGTGTGGATGTTTATGTACAGATGGGAGCCCCTGTCAGTATGCTGGGGTTGGACCTTAGCACTTCATTTCGATTCCTCTACTCGATACACAACGTCGTTTGCCACCTTGGTCCATGACCTCTGTGTTTTATTACATTTTATATTTTCTGTTCTGTCCATGTTAACCGTGCAGGAAATGTAATCGTGATTTACCCGACAATAATTGTCAGGCGACGGCATGTGATATGAATTTCAGTGGAATTTGAAATTTGTATCATGACGATTTGTCGTCTATGAAGTCAATGGGGAATTGGTGAAGGTTTTACTGCGACGGTGTACATATGATAACCTCATTGGAAAGCCCAGAAATGACACATAAGCTTGTTATCGCAACTCAAATATCAAATACCCCGCATCTCCCCTATTGTTCGGGACGCAAATCAAGCTGCAAAACTGGAAAAAAAAAGTATTCTATGAATCAAGTGATGGAAGTTGTTTGTCAGGAGGGAGATCACTGCGACGCTTATCTGGCCGGAACCTGCGACTTTCCATTTTCGTCCACTTTAATTCCTGTGCGTATGGAATTGTCGCATGGTCCTTTTTTCTCTCATGGTGTTCGTTTAAAGGCAATGCAAAATCATCGACACTACTTTATTGAAGCGCGCGATATCTTTTCACAGACGGTAATGCCTCATATTCTAATTCCAAAATAAATTAGCACTACCTTCAACTGTGAGTGAGACGTTGGTCTCGGCTAGGTCTTCACCCCGCAATTATTATACTTTCCTACATCTCGAGACACGTAGAGCTTCACTATAGCGTAAATTTTGAGGATATTCTGGCCCGTTTCTCATCTGGTATAGAGCGCCCGTAATTATGACAATTTAATAACACGCAACGAATGGTTTGTAGATGCGCCTATTATTACAGACTGTGTATGATCACCCTTTCGGTTTATTCATGACCTGGTGCCCCATACAGTGTGTATATTTCCATGGTAGTGCAGATGATCCACACGTCCAAATAAATTGCGTACTCAGTGCAGTATTTGCGAATGAAAGAAATGTCTCAAGGAAAGAATGCCAGAGAGTAATCTATTGAGCGATCTGGCGTTCCTTCCGTCCAAACAAGAGAGATGTTTGATGAAAGAGTATATTTGTGAGCCCTGGCTGTTTCAACTGGCCTTCTTTGAGTCATAGAGAGTATAAATGGTGTTCCTTAAGTTGGAAGTCCGTGAGTGAGAGCTAGCAAGATATTTGCTGTGTTGATTCAAGCCACACATACGTGGATGTGCCTGGACTAACCACATACTTTTTTTTTCAAATTTAGGCTTTGAGGGGAGTATACCCCACGCCATGAAGCATATTGTTTCTTTTTTCGAAACAAAAATACGTGTGGTGCAACCTTCCATTTGCAAATAAATTTACGCGGGTAATTTAGAAATCGCTTTCTCATTCTCCACTGAAATGCGCCTCATACCGCTTCAAATGAAAGGTGCAACCAACAACATTTTCGGCATCGAATTAAATGTTTTATGTCTGCTTCTTGACAGTAAACACATATAAAAAAAATTTAAGAGAACTCCCGCTCAACATGGGGTACGGAATAATCGTCCTGGATCGCAATATCACACTGGAGTTTTTCCTTCTGATATGCAGTAGACCGCAATATTTTAACTGCCATTCATCAAGAGCAGCTCACATGTCTTTTGTATGTATAAGTGGTCCTCTTCATATTTCGTCTTTGTTAAAATCAAATAAGCCATGTTTATAAAGATTACCCGTGAAGTTTAGAAACACAAAACAATAACACGCGTTCGTTCATGGGGCAAGATACATAGGGAGAACACCACCCCGCAAAAATATTGCACGCGCAGATAAAGGCGCGGGCGTGGTTTAGCCTATGCTGTGCCCCGCTTATATGAAGCGAACTCCGAACAATAGGCGTAGTCAACATTCACGTTCCCCGAATTTGAATATATTTGGCCACTCTCGGTTGTCTTAGAAGGTTCAACTATCTTTTTTATCTTCTCTCATTTATTTTGTGCGCCATTAAAAGCTTTTCTTTCACCCAAGACTACTCGGTCCTGAGCACTATTAGCTTGCTGAAAGATAAAATCAGGCCATACCAAATTTTCGTCTGTGCCAAACAAGCTAGCCTCAAAACGTCTACTACTTGATTATATCTGGTAAAATGACATCCTCACTCACCCTTTTGCGTGAAGATGAAAATGGACACCGCCCACGACCAAATGACGTAACCCGGAGCAACCTGGCAGCCTACGGGCTCCGCGACATGAAAGCAATATCAGTATCCCACTTAATGCCTTTTTCCAATAACACCACAACCCCGAAACAAGCCGTGGCTTTCCTGCCTTATTTTCGAGAATCAAACGAGTCTGGTCTGAGCCCTCGAAAAAATCCGAATCTGTGGGGAAAATCACAACATGTGAGAAGATTCTCTTTGGATGGATCTGGCTCGAGGTCCAAAACTTATCTTATCCAAGACATCGACAGTACGCTTAAGACACTTTTAAATAACGAAGACACAGACAATGATCATCAGATAACCATCGACGATACCGGTCCGAAAGTCTTGCATCTTGGAACGGTCAATTCTGATGGCTTCAAAACATCCGCAGTGCGAGGCACTTATATGCTTTCGAACCTCTTGCAAGAGTTGACAATAGCTAAAAATGCTGGTCTTTATTCAATGCGTCTCAGTGAACTGAGACTCAATGAAAACCCCGTGCAACGAATGAAGCGCTTGATCTCACTTGTGTTCTGGAAAAACCTTACCAGAGCCATCACAGAGGATAATGTGTTTGAAATGGCGAAAGACACCAAGATTGTGGAAGAAACGATGGATAAGAATGGGCACTTAATCAAATCAAAGGAAAGCGTCCGTATATATATTCCACACGGGCGCAAGGACCAATACGAGTATTATCTTTCCATCAAAAACAAAAACCCACTGTTGAAGTTGGATGTGCAGCTTCTTCCTGAAGTCATTGACGCTGATTACATATACTCCATTAACAAAAAGCCTGGTCTTTTGGCACTTGAATCTAGACCAGATCCAGGGAATCCCAAAAACCTCATTCAGGTCCCATACATTGTTCCGGGAGGCCGCTTCAATGAGTTCTATGGCTGGGACTCATACATGACCGTGCTTGGGCTATTGGTCGATGTCACATCTGACAACCAAGACAACTTGAAAATCGCTAGGGGTATGACTGAAAATTTCATTTATGAAATCACGAATTACAACAAAATTTTGAATGCAAACCGGTCTTACTACTTGGGCCGCTCGCAACCTCCTTTCCTCACGGACATGGCTCTTCAGGTGTACAAGAAGACTATCGAAGTCAACCCGGACAGTGGGGAAGATATGCTTGATTTCTTGCGGCTGTCGACTTTGGCGGCAATTAAGGAGTATCATACCGTGTGGTGTGCGAAGCCACGGCTAGACGAAGAAACAGGCCTTTCTTGTTACCATCCTGAGGGAAGGGGAATTCCACCCGAAACTGAGTCCTCCCATTTTGATTCTATTTTGAAGAAGTACGTCGACAAATACCAAATGACCAAAGAGGAATTCATTGAGGCATACAACGAGAATCACATTTCGGAGCCAGACTTGGACGAATACTTCCTCCATGATAGAGCAGTGCGGGAGTCTGGACACGACACAACTTATCGTCTTGAGGGCAAAGCGGCATACTTGGCTACCGTTGATCTCAATTCCCTACTCTACAAATATGAGGTCGATATTGCTTACATCATCGAGAAGTTTTTTTGTGGGTGCTTGATAAACCCGCAGACACAGCACCCCGAACTTCCTTCCGAATGGGCTGAAAGAGCCAGTCTCCGAAAAGCTAGGATTACTAAGTATCTCTGGAATGAAGAAGATTCAATATTCTACGACTACCACATCAGAGAAAAGAGACAACACAAATTCGAGTCAGCGACGTGTCTATGGCCACTTTGGGCCAAAGCTGCAACGTCTGAACAGGCCGATAAACTAGTGGCTAATTCTCTCTCCAAACTTGAAGAATATGGTGGCTTGGCGGGTAGTTCTGCCAGGTCTGTTGGTGAAGTTGGGCTAGATGGACCTTCAAGACAATGGGATTATCCCTTTGGTTGGGCACCACACCAAATCCTAGCCTGGGCAGGATTAAAGAATTACAATCACGCAGGCACCGTCCGCAGATTGGCCTATCGCTGGCTTTTCATGATGACCAGAGCTTTTGTGGACTACAATGGCGTCGTTGTTGAAAAATACAACGTGCTTAAAGGTGTCGCCCCACACAAGGTCGATGCCGAATACGGAAACCAAGGACTCGATTTCAAGGGCGTTGCGCTAGAGGGATTCGGATGGGTAAATGCTAGTTACGTTGTGGGCCTAACCTATCTAAGCGAACATGCTCAAAGAAGCATTGGAGCATTGATTCCTCCAGACGTCTTTTTGAATTACTTGGATGCAAACCAGAAAAGATCCTACCTGGTTCGGCCATAGTAAATGTGCACAACTATAGGGAAGACAAGCACCTTTGAGGTGTGCGTATGAGAACCGGACCAGGCATGAGCCAGCGGAAGTAGCAGATGTCCGCGTTGGGTTCCTCTTTGCCACACTTTCCTTTTGTTGATCTTTCATAAAAACAATAAACTTGATTACATTGCAAATCTTTTCGATTGGTCTTTCGCCCGGATATCACCCATAAATATTCCATTTGATGTCGTAGCAAAGCTTCGATGTTTAATGAGCAAATAATCGAGGTGAGACACATCAGACCACAAACCCGTGCACCAGCGGTCAATATATAGAAAAGTCCTCCATTAACTGATTGCTGAGACAAATCTGATACCCCACAAGATGCCCCTCATACACAAAAAGCCCGCCTTGGCGGGCCTCCACCGGCTATACCTCAGGGAATCACGAAGACGTTTTTCTGCGCAGTTCGCTGCAAGGGCAGAGGCAAGGAATAACACATTCAAGGCCGCAGTAGAGGCTGCCGAGAAAATGGTGCAACCTTCGAAGAAAACTTTCGACGACCCGTTTTCAATTGTCAGCCATGAAATGTCCAACTTGGCAAAGCTGATTGCGAACTTAATTGGCTCCGGCCACCCAATTTTGAATCGAGTATCGAGCTACTACTTCGAGGCCGAGGGGAAAAACGTGCGTCCGTTGATTGTTCTATTGTTGTCTAAAGCGTTACTGCAAATCCCCCTCGAGCAAAGAAATCGGATTGTCATCGACACAGCCGATGTGTCTGAACAGAAACAATATGCTGGCGTGCCGCAACAAACGGTGGTGGCGGGAAACTCTGTAAATAACTCCATTTCGCCACTTGCTATCTTGCACGGCATCAACCCCAGAGTGATTTTGGACCCGTTGTCCAAACCCATGGATCAACTCCCTGAATTGGACGCTGCAAATGGGATTCTTCCCAAACAACGGAGATTAGCCGAGATCGTGGAGATGATTCACACGGCGTCTTTGCTCCATGATGATGTCATTGACTTGTCCGACGCCAGACGCGGCAGGCCAAGCGGGAACATTGCATTCACTAACAAAATGGCCGTATTAGCCGGAGACTTTCTTTTAGGTCGTGCATCTGTGGCGATTGCTAGATTGCGGAACCCAGAGGTCATTGAGTTGTTGTCCACCACGATCGCCAACTTAGTCGAGGGTGAGTTTATGCAATTGAAAAACACCGTGATCAACAACGACAATTCTACTGTTACCAATGATGGTGACGTGAAAGAGATCCCTCACCCAACCGGCAAGGTTCCCGTGAAACAGCATGAATACCTGGTCTCTGCCCCAGTTGAGGTGGACCACAATACCAATGTCGATGCCGCGTTCGAGTATTACTCACATAAAACTTACTTGAAAACAGCCTCATTGATGTCAAAGCTGTCGCGCGCAGCTGCGGTCTTGAGCGGGGCCCAGGACAATATTATCGAGAACTGCTACGAGTTTGGCAGAAACTTGGGGTTGTGTTTCCAAGTCGTCGACGACATGTTGGACTACACTTCGAGCGATGCTGCCATTGGCAAACCTAGCCAGGCGGACTTGAAGTTGGGATTGGCCACTGCACCTATTTTATTTGCATGGAGAGAAGAACCTCATTTGGGCGAGCTCATTGGCAGAAAGTTCAGCGAGCCCGGTGATGTGGAAATTGCTAGAAAAGCCGTGGACAAGTGGGGCGGAGTGGAAAAGACGAGGGAGATGGCCCAGGAATACTGCGCCAAGGCGTTGGCGAACTTGAGAGTGTTGCCTGAGTCAGACGCGAGAAGCGCGTTGGAGCTCTTGACCAACAGTGTCTTGACGAGGACTAAGTGATTTTATATAGGCTTGGATCGCTGGCTCCACAAAATACATACTACAGCATCGAAGAATCCTGCCGTCTTCACATATTGTGAGCAAGTACCTTGTGTGCTTCGGGAAATTCTAGAAGATGCTTAACCTATCAGCATGCGGTTCGGCTGTCTTTATAGATAAAGAACTCCATGGCATATAAGAGCCTTATGTATTCGAGAAATCGGAGAATCTGGAATTCTGATGGGAAGACAAGGTCTTATTACTGTAAGAATTCCCAAGATTTGTTTTTTTTTTCTTTAGCTCTACATTGTATAATAAAATGGTAAGATTTCAGGATTGACACTCGTGATGGTTGCAAAAGGTGTCTTCGTTGCATAGTGGCCCATGCCTTTTGGGCCGCTTTTCCAAGAGCGCTAGGGGTTACCCGCCACCCAGCCGAAAAGTATATATATGTCGCGACTGCCGCATCCCTTTCTTTGCTCCTCGTCACCAGAAGATCAATTTCTTACACGAACATGGTTCTTGCCTTTTACCAGAACCATCCGGGAGTTGTCTTTTCTAATGGTGTACCTATACTTTTTGGGCTTTCTCCTCATGTTGCTAAATCATATATGATTAGCACCATTTTCTGGTGTGTGCACTGTGGCCAGTGCACTCCTCAGAAAGGACGGTTCGAAAAGTAGATACTTACGAGTGCGAAACGTATTTTTCGGCTCCAGCCAAACGAAGTTCAGTAGCCAAGCTCCGTGCGTGTTCTCATGGTGATAATGTTGATTTTCGTCGCTATTTACAATTTCTTCTCCGAAAGCAAGGACTTACCGTAAACCTTTCTTGCGTCAGTGATCTTGACGTATGCTCCTCTGGGCCCGGGGATCTGGCCCTTCACCACCAAGATCCCGGCGTCACCGTCGGCATGCAAAACCTCGTTGTTGTGGACAGTGCAGTTGTTGCCGCCCATACGGCCGGCCATCTTCTTTCCTGGCAACACTCTACCGGGATCTTGCGTGGGACCCATGGATCCGGCAGATCTATGCGACACGGACACACCGTGAGTGGCTCCCAAACCCTTGAAGCCGTGTCTCTTCATGACACCGGCAAAGCCTTTACCTTTGGTCACGCCCTTGACATCCACAAGCTGGCCCACCGCAAAGTAGTCTGCCTTAAGCTCTGCGCCTGGCTGTATGAGGCCCTCGTCGGTCCTCACTCTGAACTCGGAGATCTTGGCTTTGGGTGACACCCCGGCGGCCTCACACATGCGCAAAACCCCGGCGTCGACGTTCTTCAACTTATCCACGTGGCCCACCTTCACGGCAGAGTAGCCATGCTCGGTAAACAGTATCGTGTCCACCACTTCACATGCATCGATTTCGATGATGGTGGCGGCAAATTGTGCTCCGCTCGGCGAGAACCAAGAAACCATCTCTCTCTTGATACCAAGAAGCCCGGGTCTGGCGAGAAGCGTCTTTCTTTCGTTCGACTTGGTGAGACTGTGGTTGACCACTGGGGCAACAGTGTAGGTCAGTGGAATGGCGTGGATCGACGTGAGTCTAGCCGCGCCCCGCTGGAACTGAAGAGGCGCGACGCCGCTGGATGCCAATTTCAGGCCGGCTTTGGTCCACAAAGTTGCCATAGTATATTTGCTGTGGTGGTGCTTATGCTGAGTCTGGTGTGGTCTAAAATTTTTGATGGGCAGTGGTGCATGCACTACTGCGCACTGGGCCGGTGCCAGCTATGGCTGGCGGACTGGGGCATGTAGTTCTATGGAGAGTACGATGTTCCTGGGCTTCTGCGCTTTTTGTATGAGCGCCGAGCTCTTTTGACATTTGGGGCTCTTTTTCTCTCAGATGCGTGTGCTTGTCTGTTTGTCTCCATGTGTGTATTCATCGCGATATTAGGCCCTCGTATTTCCCAGCGAGCTTCTCGCAATACAAGCACTCTATACGCACGAGCTGGAACACACGCCTTGCCCATGCTCCGGATTCACCTCACGAGTTTTCCCTTCGACTTTGTATATCGCTGTACTGTATTTGGATCTTTACTCCCGACTCTCGCCTGTGGAAAACCGTGGCCTCAAGCTGGTGAAAAGACAACCACTGCGTGGCTACTGGATGCTGGCTATGGCCTCGCAATGGCTCAGTATATGTGCTTGGGTTTTTGCATTTCCTCCGTTAGTTCTATTTACATATTCATCCACTACTTGATCTTCTTTTGTTTCAATTTGATGGTCTCGTCATCAACAAAGATACCCTTGCCTTTGTATGGCTCCGGCTTCCTGTACTCTCTGATGACCGCAGCAAAAAGTTTCACTTGTTGCTTGTTGATACCCTCGATCAAAAGCACAGCTGGGTTACTCGAGCTGACGCTGAGGCCTTTGGGAATTTTCAATCTCGGCGTGTAAGGCAAACCAATTTTCAACACAACATACGTGCTGCCATTGGACTCCTCAAGACTGACTCTGTAACCAGTACCCACAAACTTCAACGTGGCCAAATGGCCTTCGGTTGTTCCGATGATGTGGTTCTGGATCAAAGCTCTGGTGGTTCCCCACATCGCCCTTTGAATCTTGTTGTGTGGTCTTTCGACCGACACATTCACAACATTCTCGTCTTTCTTGACCTCCACAAAACCGGGGACTGTGAGAGAAACAGTTCCCTTGGGGCCCTTGACAGTGATTAGTTTTTCCAAAGCGAACGTTTTCTTTCCCTTTGTGAAAGACTTCGAGAATTCCCGGGGAATCCACTCTGTAGAGAGCTCCACGCTCTCCATCAATCTGACGGGAGACTTGCCAATAAATGACTGCCTAGGCACAGACGTAGACAAGAGTCTGACGCCGCCCGAGTGGATGTTCCTAAACATGGTGGGTTGTTTGGCTAGTGATCGGCTGGTGACTGGAAAATTTTGTTAGCTATCAGTGCACCCGTACCTCTGCGAAACCAATTTGTCCGGGCCAATTTAAGCAGTGGGCGGTTTTCGAATTCACAAGTATTTACAATTGCGCCGTTACAAGTGAAGGTGTCTGCTAAAATTATTTCTGTGTCTTACATGACAAGATGCAACGACAAGAATAGTCGCTCAGTGGTCAAGACAGATTTGGCCTGGTCGATGCAAACGAGGTCTTGCGCGGTGTGTATTTGAAGTCAGGCCTTGATCTTTTGCGGACCAGTCGGTGACACCCCCAACGAGGTAAACATAGGGGGGAGAGTATATAAACTTATCAAGGAAATCTCAACTAGTTCACAGTTCTAAATTTGGTGCGACGGAATATTGACGTGAAATCGGGATTCAGCGTATTCAAGTCATGGGCACGGTTCCCACGCTCGGTAGGCCCGAGATTTCCGAGGCGCGCCGCCGTGCAGAACTGAGAAATTCAATAGCACTGCTAGTTCCAGCGTCAGATTAGCAGGTGCCATTATTTCTACAAATCAGAGCCATTCGTACGCCTGTATCGCTACTCTATGTTTGAAGCCGTTTATATCACGGACTCGAAAAACTCTCTAGCTTATGAAAACTTGGTGTTCCAGTATGTTCCCACCTTTCTGGCCCTTGCCAACACGCTAAACACTCGATTCGACAATCACGAGAGCAGCCCTATTCAGATAGTTGAGGTGAGCCGAGATTACTTCATTTGTTCCAAGGCAATTGACAGGACTATAATCTATTTGCTATGCCTGAGCCGCGAGCTAGCAGATGGTTTCAATCCGCTCGCGCCGTTCGTGTTCATTGATAAATTGATCGAAACGATGAAAGAGTACTTTGGCCTGCCATTGACCGCGACTAAAGTCACTGCCAACAACGATACGCTTAGTCTCTTGCTCCATCAGATGATTGCGGATGGCTTGCCACATGTTACTGATTTCAACAACCTAAAGGACGTAGTCCTGCTGAAAAGCATTCTCCTGAAGATATTGCACACCGGCAACCAGTTGGCCGCTGCTGCCAACAACAAATCGCTATCTTCGCTCGCAAATAATGGCATTCCGGCTTCAAACACTGAGAAAAGCCCGGTGCCTTGGAGAAGGGCTAATGCTAGATACACCAATAACGAGATGTTTGTTGACGTCACGGAAACTGTGAATGTTATCTTGGGACCAAAAAAAGCAAAGAATGGCCTGCGCTTATCTCTGGCTCGAAACTTCGACTCGGCATTCTACTCTACCATGTCTTCCCAGTCAGGCAAGCGACTTGTTCCTGTAACAGGAACCATCTCGGGTCAGATCGAGTTTTTGTCTCGAATCACTGGCGTGCCCGAGTTACAGATATTACTCAACTCTGCAAAAACCTACCTAGAGGCTCCTCAGTTTCACAGGTGTATTGATCTTGATGTTTGGAGACGTTCGAAATCGTTGTCCTTCATCCCGCCAGACGGACGCTCCACGCTCATGACGTATCAGGTCGACCTCGATAGTCTATCAAAAAAAACACAACTTGGAATGTTGGGGATTCTCGAGTTTGACCTACAAACCGAGCTTGGGATCCACAAAGACGAGTTTGAGTTGAAAATAACGACTCTGAAAGACCAAGCAGTGCCTAAAATCGAGACGATACACGTCGAAATTTTTGCCTTTGAACCATTAGAACTTGAAAACGACAACTTGTCATCCTCAAAGATCAATGATATTATTCCAAACGGCATAGATAAAATGAAAGCTATCAGGGTCACTGATGGTGACTTCTTGTACAAAGGTGAAGGCTGCGGTCACTGGGATATCAAAAACTTGACGACAGGCAGTCAGCCTTCTCTCAGGGTTGCTATTCTGACAGTGAATGAAATGCAAGACAACCCACAAGAATTGAGAAGGGACGAACTCGATGTTGAATCGGAAGTTCAAACTCACCCTATCTCTCCGTTGTGGCTCAAAGTCAGTTTTGCGTACAAAGGTGAAGTCCCTAGTGGCTTGAAAATAGATAGCTTGAAGTTGATATCCTCCAAGGGCATGGGAGAGTCAGTGAAGCCGTACAAGGGAGTAAAGTATATCACCAAGACAGGTGATTACAGCATTAGAGGTCGCTGAGAAGAGACCTGTCAGGAAGCCGAAATTACAATTCTCTCTTCTGCGGATGAGCTGTCTGAAATCCGTCTATGTGACAATAGTTTGAGAGATCATATATTATGTATATTAGTATGTTGTGTGCCCCCCTGTCGACTGATTTTACTAATCAATGAGACGAGCAGCATTTACACGCACTATTTGTTAATAACTGGTTTCGTGATCGTCCCGGTATAGCTTATTCGGATTTCTTACTCTTCTTTGCCTTCTCCTTCTTTGCGTTCTTGATCATAACATTGCCGACAAAAGTTCCTACTGCCAAAGCCGCTATTAAAAGCAAGAGGATTGGCAACTTTATGGCGTATTCACGGGGAAGGAAGTAACCCTGGAGGATGCTGCCCTCATCCAAAAAGGGAACTAAAAATACCCACGCAGTGTAATAAGAGAAGACAGCAGTGGCCACTCCGAGCATGGCGAGACCGACAAGTTGATCGCAATACTAAGGGTTAGTACATTTTACATCAGTGTAACAGTGAAAGTATAGAACTTCTTTAAACACATACCATTCCTGAAGAGAGAATCTGTTCTTTGTTCCAGTCACGGGTGGGTTTACGTGTTGACTCTCTATCGCACACCTGTACCTCCTGTGGATAGCATGTGGAGAAGTACGAGATAAAAGGGCAGATTATTGTACTTGATGTAATTTCAAAGTAAAAGCGTTTCGATACTATTGTAGCCAGAATCATTCGTTTTAATTTTTTGATATATTCATGATTTGTTGTTGTTCTTTTTTTTTGAAGATAAAAGTTTGCTTTATTCGATTTTTCTTGCAGAACATCAAAAAACTATGGTGAAGTAAGGAGCACAGTGACTTTCCACCAATTATCACGAAGAGGGGAAGCCCACTTGGGTCAGAATTTGTTACAAATAAAAACAAAACAAAACACGATATACCATCACAAGAGATGATTCAAATCAATATGTCAGGCTAAATACTCAAAGATTGAAATCAGGAGCTAATTCCGTCTTTTGATGTTTTAAGCAACTACTTCTCCGTAAATTTTTCTACACATAATGCCAAGAGGCTCATTTAAGAGTGATAAGATATTATTTCAGAAGCAATCTCAAACTAGGCCGATGCAAGAACTTGAACCGAGGCACCATTTAAACATTTGCAGTCATTCATCTGAACTATTCAATTTCGCGGCTGTGCGTTTTACTGTATGCATTGAGGAAGACGCCCAACCTTTCCTCTGCCCACTCGTTAGCCATATGTAGAATCAACTGAGTCCTTTTTTTTTTACGAAGAGCAAGATCAACACCAAATACATAGCCAAAAACCACCAAACCATTGCAGGCATGTTTGATAAATTGAAGCTGCGGAAAGCCCCGCTTTCGCTTAGTTCAGTCAGTAACGCTATCCGTAACTCAGGCTCTGCCAGCTTAACGCCCGAATTACCAGCAAAACACCTTAAAATCGTGGCTGGAGACCAGTTGGGACTTCCCTTAAACTCCGTGGTCGCAGCGGCATATGATCCTGTTCAGTCGCTCATTGCACTTGCCACAAAACGGGACTCCATCCATGTTTATGGTCAGAATTGTGTCGAAGTGGTATTCGAGCTTCGCACTTCTGGCGTGATTTCTCATCTCAGGTTTGTGAAGGGCATCTACTTGGTATGCATTGAGACCTCTGGAAATGTCACCATTCTATCGCTTCACAAAAAGCAGATTTTGGCCACGTACTCAGCGCCCGGATCAGTGACTGCGGTCGAATGTGATCCATCAATGGACTGGCTTATATTGGGGATGGCAAACGGGTCTGTGCTCTTCTATGATGTAGACAGATTTCATTTGACCCCTTTACGCATCGACAATCTACAAAAACAGGTATTGCCAAAACAGAAGTTGTCTCCTGCTCTCTTTATCCAATGGCATCCAAGAGACATCGGCACAGTGTTGATCACGTATTCGCATTGTGCCGTGCAATACTCCTTGACTTCTGGATTGATTAAGAATGCGTTCATTTACAAATTGACCCCTGAATGCAAAGGTTTCGAGTTTTCTAATAAGTTCGAGACTGGTGGTAAGAAGAAACTTTTTGGGAGCGTGAAAGATGTTATTCCTCGTATGAAGGAGGCACACTATCATCCAAATGGACTTCATATCGTAACCGTTCATGATGATGGGACATTGGTATTTTTTGACGCGAATGATGGTATGTTGCTCCATGCAAGAACAATGAAAGACACATTTCTTCATCAGGCCGGACCCTCTGTGTACCCCGAATGTTCAAGAGATCTAAGAATAGCCTGGATTACTGGGCAAGACCCAGAAGATACGTCTATCTTGGTGACAGGATCATCCGACTCACAGCCAGATGTTATCCAGTCTTTGGACTTTGGATTCACTTTGAAATACTCGTTGACCTCACATGAGAAGCAAGGAGATTTTTATGCCAATCCAGTGGAGGGGCAGAGGAAATTCCCGGTAAACTTCAATCGAAGACTGCAAGAGGAGGGTGCAGCTGAACACATAGCATGCTTATTACCAATACCAGCAGAGGGACAACCATATTTTCATGGAGGTCATAATCCTTCTTATGCATTGGTCTTGACAAACATGGGAGGAGTTCACTTTACACAACTTCAACCTACCACAAACCCAATTCAAATTCCTCCTTCATTACAGTCCATCAGTCCACCAACGACATTTAGTACCGTTCAGTCTGTGCGAAAAATTGATTGGTATGGGGTCATTTCAAGTAAAAGAATTGGGTCGCCAGCAGATTGCTCGCTTGTCTCTGGTGGTGCTACGGTCGACAGACACTTTCCGAGAACATTAGGTGTCGAAGATGGTGTTAAAGATATTCTTGTCAGTGGTCACGAAGATGGTACGATTAGATGTCTAGACGTCACAGCAGGTGAAAGACAACGAGGAGAATACGCAATTGAGTTCAGCTTGAAAGATACTTTAAATCCCGGGACAGGTTCAGCTTCTTATAGAGTGCTGCATGTGTCGTTCAGTTTTGAATGTAAACATGCAGTTATTGGTCTTGCCAACGGCAACATGGCTATTTGCAAGTTCGGAAAGACGCCCACGGACACATCAGTCATTCCTCCTTCGATCGAAGACTACTCCAAATGCGCAGTACTTCACTCAAACGAAGACGCTTCCATAGTTGATTTGAGCAGACGAATCTCTGGGAAATTTGATCTGCCTTCTTTTTTGCCCCTTTCCTTGCTCAAACTTCTGACAGAGGACAAGATTTCCTGTTTAAAGATGTCCAATGCCGGATTTTCTGCAGTTGGCTTCAAATCAGGCAGGTTAATCGTTTGTGACATTGCAAGAGGCCCTGCAATAATTTTGAATTTGGAGAGTATTAAAAAGCACATCCCATCTGTTACTGAGCAATGTTATGTAACAGCGATTGAGTTTGCAATCATGGAATATGGCCAGGAAGGCTTCTCATCTTTGCTCATGTTCCTTGGGACGAATGCTGGGGGGAATTTTCTCACATTCAAGATAGTTCCACAGAGAAACGGTGCATTCGAAGTAGTGTTTGCTGACAAGTCGTTAGGCCTCAACTACCGAAGCTCAGATACATCAGCAGAAGCAGCATTGGAAAGAATCATGCCTGTGAATGCCACAACCGGAGAGTCAGCTGTCGCTTCATTGGAAATGTTTCAGAAACTAGGTCAAAACATCTTGATCCCAGGATTAGTGGTTGTTTCATCTCCAAGAGACTTGCGCGTATTGAAAACGCCAAAACAGAAATTATCTCATAAGGTTGTCGATGAGGCATGTGTGAGCAGTGGGATTATTTCATTACTGACCAAAGGGGCTGTCCTTGCCACGGTCACAAAGTCTGGGTTCATCAAACTTTTTTCACTTCCTGCGTTGAGTGATATAGCGGATGTCAAAATCCCAACGGACGTATTCTCGAGATTAAAGATAGCGCTCAATAGCGAAGCTGCACTTACGTCAAGCGTTCTTTATTCCGGAGAAGTTTTCATCAAGGTGAGTTCTAGCGAGATTCTTAACTTGTTTTTGTATGACCAGACAAAGAACAAGGTGTTTAAGACCAAGCCCACAGATACACTATTCAATGACACGGCTATAATTCCTTGCCGACCAAGTGCCGGTGCTATGCTGTGGGCGAAGGGCCAAACCACATACATCTCGAATAAGGATTTGACATCGTTGATAGCTGGCCCCAACAGAAAACCCGCAAAACACCTTGAAAGTGACTTGGCATATAATAACAGCCCCGATGCGAATCCTAATCAGTCCTACGGCACATACGGCGGAGCAACATTAGGAAAGGGAAAAGAAGAAAACGGCTACGTGGAGCCCGTGAGAAAGACAGCAACCAGTAATCCTTACGCGATGGGAACTCAGAGATTTGTTCGAGGATTGCGAGACGGTCTTGACTCAGTGGAGGAGCAAGTAAACAATTACGCCAGTGGATTTTCAGAGGCCATGACAGACACCGTTGACTCTCAAAAAAAGAGCATGTACTCCCTGGCCTTCAAGAGTAAGTTTGGATTCTAGAGGCTAATTATGAGCTAAATTTAATCAGTGTCTAGCTCAATTTAATTGCAACGTGGAACTATCAAGATGCGCCAGGCTATAACGCTGAGAGCGGCCAAACGAAAATCAAATAGATATAACCTTAAGCAATTTAGGGTTATTAAATACTATAATTCATCTGTTAAGGAAGCGTGTAAAAAATGATTTAGGACTTGGGTTAGTGAATTTACTGATCACATTCCCAGGAAGATCAAAGTGATCCGCATATCGCGCGCGACAACAAGGTATGTTCCTCTTTGATGTAAAGGCTCATCGACGGACAAAATTACAGCTCAAGACTATTTTTACGATGATGAATAACGGAGATACAAATCAGCAACAGTCAGAGACTGATGAACCAAGAATAATGTCAACTTTCCAACCCCACACCCCAAGCTCTAGTCCTAAACGTAAACTAAGGCCAGAATCACCGCATAGAGATGGAACTTCAACAGTGGGCAAGCTCAACTTCCTACAAAGTGACAATATTGACGAGCATTTCGAACACATACATGATTCTCATACAGAGATATTGAACTACTTACAGCTGCTTGATGCTTATACACAAAAAACGCAAATGGATCTCGATCAGTTGTTCGACCGACTGAAGAATAATAACCAACACCTCAGCACGCTTTTGAGCAGCATAGCCGAATATTCACGAGAAGTGACAGAAGAAGGAAGTGCAACAAAAACAGATGTTAGTAGAATATTGAATGTACTCAACGACTTACGAGATTCGCCAAACCTGGAAGAACTAATGAAACGTCTCAGTGCAAAACAAGAAGAAATTTTGAAAGAGTGGAGATCATACACCGCCAAATCAACCACTGATTTAGGAAAGTCTGTTTCAATAAACCAACACAACATACTAAATAAGTTGCAGTCAATTGAGACACAATTGGGTGGTATAAAAATCCAAAACACATTTGGTGAATTTCGAAGCCGTGTCGAGTCGTTAGCGCAGGAAAACTCAAAAGAAGTGAATGCTAAACTTACAGAAGTCCTTCAAGCTCTTCAACTGCTCAATTTGAAAGACAAATCACATAATCCAGAAGTCTCACTGAACGACTTGGTGCCGAAGATCTCTGAAATAATTGAAAATTCAATTGTTCGCTTCGAAACCTTACTCCAATCATATTCTCAGACCACAAATAAGGTATCCTTCGACGATACAGTAGATCACTGGAAGAAGAAGCAAGCTGATCTCCAAAAAGAATACAACGATCTATCAAGAAATTATTCAGACCTAGAAAAATCATACACAGATCTTGAATCGAGATACTCAAAACTAGAAAGTCGCTATGATGCCAAAATCCAACGTTTTCTAGAGCTTCAATCGGATTTCCTCAAGCTTGGGGAAGAGTCAAAGAACCTCAAATCTTCAATGGCAGACCTTGACGCATCAAAGTACGATAAAGTACATGAACTACATTCCAGGAGAGTGCGAGACCTACGCAATGTGACACCTTTACAACGACACAATCGAATTGCTAGTATGCCATTACAGAATCATTTTTTAAAGGAGACCAACAATTCCGACTTGGAAGAGTAAGATAGAGTAGTTGTTTGAATTGTGCTATATACATTTTTTTCATACTCTTTGATCGCCTACAAGGCTCTAATTTCTTTCTTATCATCCATAAACGGTTGGAGAACCTCAGGGATGACCACACTGTTTGTTTCAGGGATGTAAAATTGCTCGAGAATGGCGACAATAACTCTTGGAACCGCTAAGGCAGTCCCATTCAACGTATGTGCGTACTCTAGCTTCCCTGTTGCTTTTGATCTCTGCTTGATACCGAGGCGTCTTGCTTGATAGTCACCACAATTTGAAGAGCTTGTCAACTCACCCCACGAGCCACGTCCTGGCATCCATGCCTCACAATCGTATTTTTTGAGCGCCGGCGCACCCAAATCTGTAGTGGGCATATTCAACATCTTAGCTTTGAGGCCAAGATCGCGGATTAATGATGCCTGAAATTCACGTAGTTCCTCAAGTTCTCCCTCAGCCTTTTCCGAATCAGTGAAATGAAACAATTCAACTTTTGTGAATTCATGGACTCGATAGAGACCCGCGGTGTCCTTTCCCCGGGCTCCAGCCTCGGCTCTATATGACCTCGACACACCGACATACTTAAGGGGGGTGGAAATTGTTGATTGTGAGTGTAATGCACCTAATGGTATCTCAGCAGTACCAGCAAGAGATAAAGGCTCTCCTTCAATTGAGTAGACTTGCTTTTCATCATTTTGATCACGAGGTTTGAATCCACAAGCACTTATGATTTCGGACTTCACAATGGAGGGTGGAACCACCATGGTGTAGCCAGCTTTACGTGCTCTGGAGAGGGAAAATTGAATCAATGCCTGTTCTAAGAGAGCACCATCATTGATGAGGTAGTACCATGAAGATCCGGAGATCCGTGCCGCAGTCTCAAAATTCATTAAGCCCAAGTTAAGACCGATAGTGCGATGATCATGTTTGGAGATGGGCAATGCAGATTCGATTTGCTGTACAGAGTCACCATTGATGACTTCCTGCAATTCTGGGACATTTGGATCAGAAGGAACTGAATCTGAAAGCCAGTTAGGAAGCGACTCCACTGCATTATGTATGGTCTCGGATAGGACATCCAACTTGTTTTCTAGCGCAGATATCTTGACCTTATATTGCAGAAGCTCCAGCTGCAAACGAGCTATTTCATCCAGATCAGTTCCCCCAGAATTTTGTTTAAGTAAGTTTCCTAAAACAAAGCCAAGCTTCTTTCTGGCACTTGTCAACAGATTTCTCTCGTCTTGAAGAGCTAGCTCTGTTTCGCGGTTTCGGAGAAGGAAGTCCAACTGTTCAGAACTACCATCACCTCTGCGAGATATAGAGTTTCTCATCTCATCTTGTCGAGAAATGATTCCCTTTATGTCAAAGACAGGCCTCCTCAACGAAGAAGTGTTTATAAATGAGCTCGCGTAGCGCACGAATATGGTACTCCAAAGCATGAGCGGTTGCGGGCAAGGTGAAGTGGAACATTTTGGGAGTGCACAAGATTTGCTTGGTTGATGTCGCGCGATTTCTCATGAGTGAATATTCTGTGCACGCGTTTCCGATATTGTTGTCTGATTACAGCCAAACGGCAGGAATTGAAGTCAAATTGTCGATCAAGACACGAAAGTATCCTCGAAATCATATCCTCAACCTGAACTTCTGGCGTCAATTTTTTTTCATTGGGTGAAATCTTCATTCAGCCATTTCCGCTTTTAGGTTTGGAAACTCACAATTCGCTTATGAGGGCCATTGCTCGCGCATCACCCTTCGCCAATGCCTTCTCATCTAAGGCATCAGCTAAGCAAACCCAGGGGTCTCTTGTTCCACCCCACTTCAAAATACTCTGCTTGTACTTTTCGCCTGCATCTCTACTCCATGGATCATTTTCGAAAAGACCTTTCCAGATCTTTTCTGCGATGGCCCGGTCTAATAGATAGGAGTAGTACACAGCTCCGTAGGAGAATAGATGAGGGAACTTTCCGTGCCACGTAGACCACAAATCAGCGAAAACTTGCAATTCCTTTTCGAGTTTGTGGTAAATTTCTGTGGAGTCAAATTTCTCAAAGGCTACTTCATCGCGAAAGTCGACCACGTTATCACTATGAAGCGCTTGATCCAAGAGCGCCATCTTTGATTGCATGTAGGTTTCCGTATGCTTGAGAGTCTTCAGATGTCTTTGATGACTTTCTAATAATTTAAGTGGTAAAGGCTCCCCTGTTTTATAGTGCTTTGCTATCTTGCACAAAACTCTGGGGTCGCTACTGAACAGTTCCATGAGAACTGATGGCAATTCAACAAAGTCCGTAGCGCACCTAGTTCCTGACAAATTATGAAGGCGAGTACGACCGAGCATCGAGTGAGTAGCATGCCCCATCTCATGGAAGATTGTATCGACTTGTTCCAAGCTTAAAAGCGTCGGAGTGTCGCTGTCCATGCCGGCAAGGTGGCTTATTTTGGACAGACTAGCGTTCAGAAAGTTGCACACGAGAGAAATCACTGGTAGTTGATAGTCTCCTCCAGAACTGAGGTGAGTTTCTTTCTCCAACTCTTGAGTGCTTTCACTGCCAATATCGGTGTTGAGTTCTCTAGAGCATACGAGTGTGAAGTGAGAAGGCAACACTTTGGAAGACCAGAAGTCGACATACAAGTGACCCAATATCTCGTTATTGGATAGGTCAATATAGCTTAATTTGCGCACTTGATTTTGGTTCCAAGTCTCACCTTTCATGGTTTTCTGAGGTACGAGCGCAACATTATATATGCTGCGAAACAACTCATCAAGACCACTCATGATCGACCCGACCGAAAGATATTCAGATATGTCTTCAAGCGGAGTTTCTTCCTCAAACGAAACAAGACTTTGCTTTGATAGCAAGAAATCTCTGTCCCACGGCTTAACATCTCTTAAAATTTGTTCTTTGGAGAGTGAAAGCTTTCCAGCTGAAGCCTCTTGGTTTTTGAGATCGTGAAGTTGTTTGATTTCTGCAACAACGCCATCGGGCCTGGACAATAGATTCTTTTGCAAGTTGCGGAGGAATGTGACCACATTCTCGGGGTTCTTTGCCATCTTGTGTTCGAGCTGGTATTGTGAAAAAGACTTGTACCCCAACATATTAGAGAGGAGCGCCCTGTATTTCAAAAAAGCGTTGAGGGTGTCGAGTTGGTCTTTCAGGGAATTATGCAAACCGATCCAGACTCTTTTGCGAACATCTTCAGAGGAAGACAGAGACAAAATCAAAGAGGGAATATGGCCAGCTAGGGGAACCATGATATCAGTTTTTGAGTGTTGTGGTGCTCTATTTTGATACAACATGATATCCTTCTTCAAGCTGTCGGATTCGATCTGCTCAAATTCATGCCTGGGCACGGCCACCCAAAAAGACTCCATGTTCTGAATCTCGTTATTAAATGTCGAGCCTAAGAGCGAGATCTGCTGGGTCACCATGACAAAATTCTTCCGGGTATCAGGATCCATGGCAATGCCCGAGCGCTCGAAATCTTGCCGCAAATACTTGCCAACCTCAATCTCTTCATCACTCAAAAATTTGGCGACATACAGATCTAACACCGTACACAAAGTGCGGTACAACTCGACATTGGTGTTGAGTTGGTTCATGTATTCGAACATCATTTCATGAGTGTTTTGTGCAGCATCCACCCACTTTTGGCTCGAGTGAACAACACGGATGAATTCGGCCACATCGATAACTCGACAGAGGGTGTCACTCAACTGGTCCAACTTTCTGATGTAGGTCAATTTTCCTTGTTCTGTATTATTTGCCTCCAAAAGCATCGACGTCACTAGAGACTTGGCTTTGGTGAGAGACAGCTTTGAAAAATTCACCAAGCCATCGGGAGACGTGAGATGACTGTTTCTGAAGAGCCCTACATTTGGCGATGAGAATACCAGATAGCCAGGCAGGTTAAAGTTGGCGAAGTATTTCTGGGAGTCAAACAATTTAAGAATCTGGTCCGACCCCGAAGCACGATGTAGATTTCTAACAGCGCTTGAAGCCAGAGTTCGGCCAAATCTGGGCACGTTGGCTGTTCTTAGAAGCATCGTTAGAAGGTACTGTGAATCTTAACCACTAGATACAAGGCCTGGACCAATCGAGCAAGCCGGGGCCGACGCACAAAAGAGCGCGGCTTCTACAAGGGCGAGGGCTACGAGATGCCGCGGGCTTGGAAAAAACACTAGTCAATGGAAATGGGCTTAACTTCCTGGAAAATATGAAGAGAAGGCAGTAATGTTGAAAATCAACATTAGACCACGTCACATTTCTGGAAAGTTAAACACGATCAGAAACACGTGTGATTTATTGGGGCCGAGCGGTTCACTTTGCGCCAGACAATGAAGACTCCGGTTTCGCGGGGCAAAATATAACTGCCGCATTCGCCTCGAGAAGTGATCACATGATACTTGATTCCAAACCTAGGGAAATTACACATCTATGGTATATTCACCCATGGAGGAAAAATATTATGTAGCCCAGCTGCTATGAAAGTTCATACAGACTGTCCTCCAGCTTTTCACGGTGGCATGTCTCGTTGCCCTTTGTCAGCAGACTCGCCCCGCGAAGCATACTACTTGCCTTTAACTATGCAGCGGTCCAGCGACCTGTACTTGCGCGCCCCTATACAGCCGATATCAAATCACCAAGTCATGCCTACGGTCCCTAGGTCCCCCCGGATTCTACAGTTATACTTGTTAGAATGGAAATAAGAAAGCGGCCTTTGTGAAAAACCCACTAGACCACTCTTTATATTATTCTACTCCCGTATAGCACCGAAGGTTCCAGCTACCTCGGCCTTTAGATCGAGCAGTACGCAGGTTTTGGCACACTGCTGGCAGCTTTTGTAGTACGCTCTCCGCCGCACCCGCTCCCGTGATTGTGAGAACTAGACGCTTAGCCCTAATTAATCATGTGACAAATGAGACATTAAAGTTCGCACCACTTACCCGGAACCAAATAGCACGACGAGTATATGAAGGGAAGAGAATTCCCTCTAGAGATCTTTTTAGAAGGTCAGTTGACACAAAAGTGGTTTTAGTTTTTCCTAAATAAAGGTTTATTTCCACACGCTAGTACATCATGTCGAATCCGATATCTCAACTGTACCAGTTGGGAACCACTTGTGGACAGGACATTGAGTTGGAATATCCTGTACTCAAGCAGAAATACAAACAGGTTATGGGTCCTGAGCCGACCGCTGAGCACAAACGGATGCTTACATCGACTTTCGGAAAACTTCAAGATGAGAGTCTTACTAGTGTGTGGAAAATATTCTTTGAAAGAAGGATATTTGATTT